GAGAGAAGGAGAAAGAGAGAAAATGTGGCTAGGTTTGTGTCTCTTATGAATAGAATGATAAATTAGGGTTTTAAGAGGATAAGAAGGCTATTTATATTTAAGTTTAATTAGATGAGTGGGGCTTAATGGACTTTTAAGAAGAGATTAGGAAAAAGGTTTATTAAAAAGAAATAAGAAAAGATGGTTTAATCTAATTAAATTGGAATTAGGAACTGCTAACATCGGATCTTTGGTTAACTAAGAGTCGAGATGTTAGAATCGTCTCGTATCAAACAATCTTAAAACAATCAATTACAAAATTATTTCGTATAGAACAATCTCTGAAGAAGCTATGCATAACGCGAAAAATCCTTAGTGTCTTAGCTCACACAATGGTTGGGAAAGGAATGGGAGATTATCTCATGAATCCCGTGTTTGTTCCTTCTCCTACGCCCGTAGAAGTGTCTCTCGTACAAGCTTTTAAAATCACAAAGTTTCACAGTTACATTGAAGGTGGATGTAACGTGAGTCTCTCTTATGATTTGACCCATAGGTTCTTCTATGGTGGTTCTTTTATGGTGTTTTGGATTTTTTTTCAGCAGGTATAATAACCTCGATACACTTAAAGGTTATCATTAATTATTATATTATATTTCTATATTATTATTTAAGTAGATATTTACATAAATGAACTTTCATTTATAAAATATTACAGAATATTTTACGTAAATAAATATTTATTTATAAGATATTACATAAATAAATTATACAAATATAGTTATTTGATTTCTTTTTTTTTTTTCTTTATTTTTTGTTCTTCTTCTTTATCGTTTTTTCTTTATTTTTCTTTCTTGTCTTCCAACCATCCAATATTGGTGTAGGTAGATCGTAAATATCAATACTCTAACACCTACGTAGAGATGGCACAATAATCACGTTCAAAATATACAAGGGCAGAGAGAAAGCAGTTATGCACTGTAAGACAACAAAAACCAACGACCGTTATAGCCAAAAGCTTAGACAATTACAATACGTATAAACAATAAGAAGAATCATGTATTAAAAATAAATTTTTTAATCATCTTTGCCTTTTCTTCTTCTTCCTCTTATTTATCTTTTGGTTTTCTTATTCCTCATTTATTTTTTCTCTTCTTCATCGTCTTCAAGTTCTACTTCTTCTTTCTCTTCTGATTTGTCTTCTTCCTCGTTTTTTCTTTCTTTATTCAATTATTCGTCATATTCTTTATTTCTAGTTTTTCTTTTTCGTATTTTCCTTATTCTTTTTTATTGTGTTTGATCAATTCTTTCCCCGATTTTTTCTTTTTTTTCTGGGTTGTACTCATATTCTTCTTCTTTATCCCACTTTTCTTCTTTTTCTTCAAATTTTTCTTCTTCCTCTTCTCCATCGAATTCATTTTTTTCTTTTTCCTCTTATTCATCTTTCGGAGTTTCTTCTTCCTTGCTTTTTCCTTCTTCTTTTTCATCGTTTTTGACTTCTACTTTTACTTCTTCTATGACTTCTTCTTCTTCCTCTTACATAACTGTCAATCGTCTTATCCCTCATCCTTTTCTTCATCATTGTCTATGTCTCCCGAATTTTATTTTTATTCTCTTCGTCTTTCTTTGCCTCTCAGTCTTCATTGCCTCGATTATAGATGAATATACTCATATTTTCTCACGTCTCCATATTTTGATTTGTTTACTTGCATGGGAAATGGTTTCATCTCTCTCTCTCTCTCTCTCTCCATCCATTCCTCTCTATATTCATAACTTAGATCTCCTTAGGTTTTCCCTTCTTTTTCTTCTTCTTCTTATTCTTCTTCTCTTTAAATTAATGATAAATTCTACAATATAACTTTAGCCTTATCTCCTCAACTTCTCACTTTATCTTTTGTTCTCTTCTTTACCTTCAAGCCTTCGTCATCTATTTTTTCCACTTTTTCATATCAATCATACATTTCTTTGCCACCCAACTATCTTTTCTCATTTCACCCATTGTTTTCTTTAGCTTCTGTGTTTTCCTCACGCATTTCAGTCAGGGGTTCAAACCTGTTTTAGTATTGTCAATTTCAATGTTTGAGTGTTCAATCTCTGTTGGCTCGTGTTCAAATAAACCAGTGAACTTCAGAAACACATAACACTCTGATTTGAGTTTTTTTAACGTAGAAACCTATTCGAGATTTCATCTTATTCTTCAACTCTTCTTTGAAGATACAATATAGGCTTTATCTTGTAAGATTTGGATTTTAGAGAAGCAATCAAAGGATAGAATGTTTTAGGATAAATTTAATTCGAAAACTAAATTTTTAAAGCAACGGAGTTATACAACACAAGAATTACTTATTACACATCAAAACATAAAACATATGAGAAATGCAACGTGTGAGTATGTTCATTCTTCAATTCACAAGAATTTCAGTCCTCTATGTTTCTTAGATTCTGGATTCAGAGAATCATAAATTTATTCGGTACTCCGATGAAGCCTGAAACACTGAAAATATAGTTCCAGCAAGCTGAAACAAATTACAAGGATGATGAAAATTACGACATGAATATTTCTCTAGAAAACTTTCTTCTTCCTCTGTATTGGTGACTCTCCTTCCTTCAACTGGGTTTATCCCTCATCAGGGGTTAAAAAACAATTGATAAGTTTATTAACAAACGATAAAACTAAGAAGTGGGTCAGGGATTAACCATAATATAATTCAACACCAATTGGGTGGTCCCATCCGCAATTGGTTTGCACTCTGTTGTTCTCCAGAGGATTGTTGTATATCAACACAAGAATTTGACATGCGTAAAGATTTTAGTCACACTGAATCTAATTTCATTGTCACCTTCTTTTCTTTTGCTCTTTGAAGTTATGAGACATCACATTCCCGTTCATCAACTTACCAACAAAGATATTGTTTTAATGTCTGATAGGTTTAGTCTTAAGAGTATATTAATGTTTCTTTGATAAAATAATGTGTTGGGTAAAAAATAAAACTGTAAAATATTTTCCAGAAACAACATAGTTGCCTTTGTGCAGAAAACAATGGGAAATTGTAAAACAATATACCTTGTTTTGTTCATGTTATATATCTTTAGTAAACTATAAAACCAAAACTAATCCGAATTAGTTACTATTTTTTGGTTAAAGATCCATGTTCACACAAGCTACCACGAAAATAAACCATAAAATTATATTTAGAAATAAAAATAAACATAAACAACAATATAAAGAAAATGTACAGTGAAATCCAAGGAGAAACAAACAACAATCAATTAATAAATAACATCCATTCACAAATATGTTACCAGAATAAATTAATACAAACCTAAACTAAAATATGAATTATATACAATATGTTATCAGAAAAAAATTAATACAAATCTAAACTAAAACATGAATTATACACACACAAAAAACTCTTTTCAATGGTTTTGATTCTTTTAAGAATACTAAAATAATACATTAGAGAGTTTATGAATATCATTTAAGAAAATTAGAAGTTCTAATGATTTGTTGAAAAAAAAAAGTCCTAATGATTTATCTGCAATTACTTGTTAGGTCTATTTGAAAATATGATTGCAAAATTTCGAACCAATCACCAACAGTTTGTGGGATGAACTCTAAGTTCATGGAAAACAATAAACAAGTTCTGGTCAATCTATATTTATGAACAATAAATCAAATATATCCATAGAAAAAACTTAATAAAGAGGAACATGTATATCTAATATGGAAGCAACGAATTTTATATATAAAATTACAAACCAAACACAATGATGATAGCTCGATGACCAATCGCATAGAGAGTAAAACAGGGGTTAAAAAATTAAGATAGCTATGATGCATAGTAATATAGAACACAATAGAGAAAAAAATAGATATTTGACCGGTCAGCAATGAAGAGTCTCGATTGGAACAAACAATTAAAAAGTTAGTATGGAAGAACAACCAGCTAAACAAACGATATAATTTAAAGCAGATCGTGATATACAAAAGATGTATTCGTGAAAAATGGGTGGACTAGTTTTGTAAAAGTTGCTAGATCTTAGAAGACGTTTATTGTATTTAAAAAAAATATGTAGACGATACCGATATATATATATAGTAGGATATATGTTTTAGGGTTTAGAGTTTCGACGTCGGTGCTCTATTACCAGAATCGGTCGTTATGACCGAGAACAAAATTGCTGGCCCATGGAAAAACTCGCTGGCCCATTATTGAAGAAAAAAACCATGTCACATATATTAACACGTATGATTAGTGATCAACTAATGAGAATTAATTAAAACACCACATAATTTTTTTAATAATAACACATGGGACAATCATTGTGAAAACAATATATAAGATTTAGACGTCGCAAATAATAGTATAGATAGATACCAAGATCAATGGCTAAAAATCTATCGTTTCAAGAGAGCATATTAAAGAATAATATCACACATCCAAAAAAATTTTTTTTAATAATTTATAAAAAGATATGAGTCAGTCCAATCTATTCATTACCTATTGGTTTATATGGTTATAAACTATGAATGTGACTTGTAGTAATCATTAATTCTCTAGAATAAGTTATAAGCTACTCCAATTTAAAAGAGTAAAAATTACACATATAGCATGTGAAATTTAACATAAACTTGTCGATTTTGATTCGATCTCCAAGTTTTAAAATAGACTGATTTCCCAGAAGTAACTACGCGACTGTGTTTCGACCTCACATGGCATAGCATTGACTAATTTGTTATACATGGACTTACAACTATTTAATTTTGCAGATCTGACTTTGACGACTATTTAGTATTTTGCAATCGACCTCAAAACTACATCAAATGTTTTATAATTAGTTATAGGTTAGCCAGTCGACAGTATATCATTATATACATACGTACACCCCAAGTATAATAAAATTTTATGTTTGTTTTAGTTTTCTTCTCAAATATACTTGTTTTATGCGCATGAAACAAATAGTCTTTTCTTCTCGCTCCAAACATAAATAAACAACGCAAACACAATCTTAACAGTAGAATGAGTTTTCATATTTTACGATTACTCCGTGTTATTCTCCTCGCAATTTTCATCTTCCATGGCTCGTGTTATTCCGATGAAGGTACATTACTGTCTATTTTGCTATGAGTCGTATTGAAATGATATGTTCATTTCAATATTCATAAATTTTATTTTATCGTGAAGCTGGAAGTTATACATTTATGAAAGATGCAACACTAGCACCAACTCATGCTAGCTTCGACTACATAATCATCGGAGGAGGAACTTCAGGTTGTGCGTTAGCCGCAACGCTCTCTCAAAACGCAAACGTTTTGGTTCTTGAACGTGGCGGCTCACCCTACGACAATCCAACGGCCACGGACATCGGAAACTTCGCCAACACACTCTTAAACATCACACCGAACTCATGGTCGCAGCTTTTCATCTCGGAGGACGGCGTTTATAACACACGGCCGCGCGTCCTCGGTGGAGGTACGGTGCTAAACGCGGGATTCTACACACGCGCGAGCGGCCACTACGTGGAGGAAGCTGAGTGGGAGATGGAGGAAGTGGAAGCTGCTTACGAGTGGGTCGAGAAGAAACTTGTGTTCGAGCCACAAGTAATGGGATGGCAAACGGCGTTTAAAGATGGGCTTTTGGAGGCTGGTGTGAATCCGTACAATGGTTTTACGTACGACCATATATACGGGACGAAGATCGGCGGTACGATCTTGGACGGCGACGGTCATAGACACACGGCGGCGAATCTGTTAGAGTATGCTAATCCAAACAATATTGTTGTATACTTGCATGCTTCTGTCCATAAAATCTTCTTCACCACCACAACAGGTACTGATTATTCATATTCTACATCTTTTAACGACCAGTGTAAGTAATATCATTTTTAATGTTTTGATTTTCTAGCATATGATTAATCATCTAAAATGAGCAATAACTTTTCAGAAATAATATCTATTATATTAAAACAGAAACATTTTTAGTGCTTATTTTCAAACACTCCCAAATTTTTTTAAAATCTATTATATTAAAACAGAAGCACTTGTAGTCATTGCCTCCAAACACTCTCAAATTTTTTTTAAATTTTTTTAGTTTATATTAATATTAAATTCCGAAAATTAGGTATTAATTTAGATATTTTTAGATTCTCCTTAAATATACGTGATAATTAATTTAAAACATTTATTTATATTGATATTTAATTTTGAAAATGAGTTATTAATTTAGATATTTTTAAATTTTCTTAAATATGGTCATATTTAAATAATATTTCAAATTATTCAAGATTTTTCATAATTATACATAATTACGAAAATTTAGATTTAATGTAATTTAAAATTCAAAAAAAATTAAAAGAATTTATAGTTAAATTTTATTACAAAAATGTAGGTATTTATTTTAATTAATTTAGAATTCTTTAAATATAGTTAAATTTATTTAAAACTAGATTCTAACCTCGTGCGTCCGCACAGAAATTTTTTATTTTTTTCTTAATATAAATTATATTTATTTTTTTGTTTAGATATAAGTTATTTTGTTATTTATTTATTTTCTTAAATCAAGAATATTCATTTTTCAAATTTTCAAATATGAAAAAATAATAAGAATGAGATGTGTTAAGTTTTTCATCATCTTGGTGTCGAGCTATTTTTTTGCAGGACATTTTGTTATCATGTTTTAACTTTAAACTAGATTCTAACCCCGTGCATCCGCACGAGAATATTTTTTATTGTTTAACGAATTTTGTAATATAATTTGTGTTTATAAGTTTAGATATAATTATTTTTATAAATATATTTTTTAATAAGTGAAAATATTGATTTTTGTGTTTAGATATATTTTTATAGTATTAAAATTAATTATGATTATAAAAATATAATTTTAACCTGTCCGCTAATATTAATTCAAAATGAACTATTATAAAAAACATAATTCTAACTTTTCTGTTCATATTACCGTATAATATAAATATTTGTTAAAAAGTTTGAGATGTATTAACAGTATTATTTAGCATTATAGTTTTCTAAAATTTAATCAACGAAGGGAGTGTACAACTGGTTTTTCAAACCACATTTTAGTGTATGCAATAATTTTTGATTTTTAATGTTTTTATTTTGTATGAAAAATATATTTTCGATATACATGTATAATTCAAAAATAGTGATTTTAGTTACCAAAATATTTTTAAACCGGTTTTTATATATATTTTTAGTTCTATGAATTTTAATAAATATATTTTTAATATTTAAATTATACATTTGAATTTTACCTATTATTTTTTTATTAATTTGTAAATAAATCATAATCGTAAATAAATTATATAAGCAACATAAATATCATATCATTTACATTATTATAAATATTTTATATTTCAAATATGACCATTATTTTTCATATATGAATTTTTTTTTTTCAAAAATTCTACATATTTTTGATAAAAATATTTAATAGTATAGAAATTATTTAAATTAGAATCTTTAAATCAAATCTAAATTAATATCTGATTTATTATTTTTAATCAAATCAAATCAAATCTAAATTACCTATATTAAAGGAACTCTAAAAATATTTAAATTAATAACTAATTTTCGAAATTAAATATAAATAATTATTAAAATTATTTTTAAACACTTAAAAAAAAGGGCTTCTTGCACATATGACCTCAAAATTGAAGTCAAATGCAAATCTAACCTCTTTTTTCTCCCTCTTCAATATTAGCCAATTTCTCCCCACTTTCTCTCTAAAGCCACATATAATAACATAAATGCCATTATATTTATAATTATCGAATTTTTTAGGTAATTCGAAAAAGACATACCCATCCTAAGCTATTTTAAGTATTCACGAAAATGCAATCATCTTCAATTTCACCAACTACCATTACCAACCAAAATGGAAGCTCTTAATGCTTGTCCATCTGCACTTGAAGCTCTAAATACTTATTTGGCCGCTCAAACTTCATTCTATCTTCAAATTTCTATATGGTTTCATCTAAAAATCTCTTTCTTAGTCGACATTGATATGTTTGAATTCGCAAATCATATATTTTGTGAGATTCTTGGATAACCGAGTTCTGGGCTGGTTTCCTTTCCGTGCATCTTAAAAATTCTGAACTTCTGTCAAAGTTAATCGAGTTCAAATTGGAAGGAGGTAAACATCTAAATCTTTTCTTTAACATTGGGCTATGTTTCGCGAAAGTAGACTTCTTTTACAGTCTGCTAGTCAACGTAAAATGTTAGATTTGCAATTGACCTTTTGGTATTTTTTTGAAAGTAGACTTCTTTGTAAGTCTGCGAATTTTCATTTGAATACAAAAAAACAACGTTTAGACTTCTATTTCAGGCTGTCGAAAGCGAGAATAGTTTTGCATTTGACCGGAAAATATTATACTTTGACCTTTTCTGCAGACTTCGTGGAGATGTCTGAAAAAGATAAGTTTGACCTGAAAGGTTATTTTTGCATTTGACCAAGATGTTGACCACCTTTGACTGTTCGAGCAGACTTCTAAAGAAGTCAGCTACGATTTTAATTTATAGCAGACTTCTATTAATTTAATTCAGAATTGGTCAAATGCAAAAATAACCTCTCGGCAGACTTTAGAAGTCTGCTGTCAGCAGACTTCTGCTACGAAAGTCAAACTTTGGTCAATTGCAAAAATAACCTGCAGCAGACTTCGTTGGTAGTGTAGACTTCGTCAGCCGACTTCACATTAACAGAAGACTTCTTGCCTCGTACAGCAGACTTCTTTTAGCAGACTTCAAAAGAAGTCTGCTGTAAAAGTCAAACGTTTGGATAATTGCAGAAATAACCTTTTTCTTATGCAGACTTTATATAGAAGTCTACTACGAAAGTCAAACATTTGGTCAATTGCAAAAGTAACCCTGCCTTTTTGGCAGACTTCTTCGTGAAAGCAACCGGGTGGAGTTTTGCTGGAAGTCTGCATTTTTTTCATTTTTAAAAAGTACTTTTTTAAAACTTTTGTGTGATGAAATTTTTTTTTTAATTTTTATTCTTGTTTAGAAGGTATATTTCCTGTACTTGTATTAATTTTGTATGCTTATGTGTTATACATTAATAGTTATAATTTTTGTAGATTTGAACGGTAATTGGCACATATTAGCAGACTTCATAAGAAGTCTGCCACTGAAGTCTGCCTGTCGAAGGAGAATAACACAGCAGACAACACTTGAAGTCTGCCTAATTATTTTAGCAAAAAATTCGTTTTCGAATTAATGGTATATGCTAAAATAAATATATTGTTTGGACATGTTGATCTGCCTTTCTTGGTTCCATATACGTGAGTTTCACATTGATATGTGTTATAATTAGAAAGTGATGAATTTTCTTGAATGTTTAGACGTTTAGCCGATTATAGGAAAACACGGTTTATCTTGTGTGGTTTACCTTTTTTGCAGATGGCGGCTCAGTTGCCTGTTGTATTTGGAGAATGGGTTATGAGTGCTCAGTCGTGGCATTTTGAGGTGGATAATCGCAAAGGAGGGAGGTTGTTCTTCTTGAATGATGGTTGTACACATGGAGAACTCGTAGCTATGGCTCTAGATGATTACATGCTGGATGGAAATACGGACAGCGTGTCTATCACTTATGCATTGCCAGATTCAATGTTAGCAAACATGGCTCCGGATACCCCTCCTATGCATATTACTAATGATAGACAAGTACAGAACTTGATTGGGCTGAGTAAGACGAATGCTATACGTCTTTGTGTATCTAGTTGCAAGGACAATGATGGACGTACTGGTGGTGTTGATGCTGCTGATGGGTGTTCTGTTGAAGGTGGGAATCAAAATACTGAGGAAGGTGAAGATGAAAATGTCGATGAGTATGATGATGATGAGATAAACGAGGACATCAAAAACGATTCAGTAAAGGAGGAAGACAGTACTGACTCTGAGGGTCAGGACTCTGAGGATCAGGACTACAGCCAATATGGGAAAGTGAAGGATGAGGATTCAAATTCTGATTCAGAGGGTGAGGGTGAGTGGATTGAAGAACCGGTGAAGGCTCCTCAAAGAGGATATGAAAGAAATTGGGTTGACAAAATAAAAGTAAACGGAAGTTTTGCTACAAAAGACGACCTGATTTCTGAGATCAGGTTGACGGCTGTTATGTTGAAGTTTGCATTCAGAGTTGATAAGTCATCGACACGTCTGTTTGTTGCTAAATGTGCTGTTAAAGGATGCCAATGGAGAGTTAGAGCAGCTGTAAAGAACGAAGCAAAGACGTTTTGGGTCACTAAATATGTCAAAACTCATACCTGTTCAGTTTCAGATCGGTTGGCTCACCGAAAGCATACGACTCCAAGATACATTGGAAAGTTATTTATAGAGCGTGTGGGAATAATTGATGGGATTACTGCAGAACACATCAAAGATTCAATGCAGACGATATTTCAATTGAAAATAGACTACACAACTTCGTATAAAGCTTTGATGTATGCACAAGAATGTGTGAGGGGAAGCCCTGAGGCTGGATATAGCCGACTGCCTTCTTATTTGCGTCTGATCGCTGAAGCAAATCCGGGTACTATAACTGCCCTTGAACGCGACAGTCAGAATAGGTTCAAGTACCTATTCTTAGCCTTCAGAGCCTCCATAGCTGGTTTTCAATATCTCAGACGGGTCATTGTTGTCGATGGGTGTCATCTGACTGGAAAGTATGAAGGGACTCTGCTAGTGGCCACAGCACAAGATGGTAACTTCCAGATATTTCCACTAGCTTTTGGAATAGTGGACTCTGAGAATGATCACGCATGGGAATGGTTTTTTAGAAAATTGCGGGAGTGTTTTACAGACTAGTATCCATTGGTG